TAGATAATCGTGGCATCGAAAAGGCTGGGAGAGAAAGACCGAGAACGAAAGAGAGAAAGAGAAAACCAGGACCGGGGCGATATTCGCGATGTTGCCGGGGCTTTCTCTGATTTCGGAAAGTTGGATAACGGCAAACCGAGCGTAATGGCGCCGATAAAGACGCCATCGTCGACGACGACGACGACGACGACGAGGGCGACGAGGACAACTCGGAGGCGTGCGCGAAGATTCGATTCTATCGAAGCAGTTATTTACTCTTCAGGAAGCTTTGCTCCTATCTAAACGCCTATGCTTTCTCGCAAACCGAATTTTCTCATTTATATGATTATAATTGTTCGTACTAGTAAAAGGTGTATTAAGTTTTACAGGGCAATGAAGAAGCGGTGCCATTCTTCGTCTTACTTCGCTCTATTTTGATCGTGAAGTTATCTTACCTTATTCGTTCTGTTTCTAATGTTTCTACTAGCTTTCGACCAGCTGGGGGACAACGGATAGGTTCCAGAACACGCTCACGGGCGTGTGGACAAGTGTCCTGGGAATTATCTATTGTTTTTCTCCGTTCGGGAAACACACGGGTGCCATCGGGAGCATTAATGCCTCTCGTAATGGAGGGAGGCACGTAATACGAGCCGGGAACGCGGCAGCAGATGCTCGCGCGTAATCCTCCTATGTAGTCTGGCGCACGTTTCGAGAGCATCGTCTCTACACCGAAGGTGGTGAGCGAGATTCAACGCCGTCATAGTCACGGCGCGCAGATGCGAAATACATAGACGTAAGATGCATTTCTGTGTTTAAGAAATGGTTATGAAAGAATCTAAGTCCAAAAGCTTGAGTATTTCGGTAGAGATTGTGAAATTATATATTGTCAGAGTTATCACAAATTCCTCATTCTAAAATTTCGTTACTTTCCCTGATTCCCAAACAAAATTTCATGATTTTCCCTGATACTTTCAATAATATACAATATGAAATTTTATGTATTTTCGTCCTGATTTGGAAATCGTTAAATATTTTGTTAAGAAATCAATTTAACATAGTAATCAATTTAACATAGTAATATAAATTATTATTAATATTGCTGACATAGCTTACATTTTTAATTGTTAAGTTTGTAATATTCCAAAACTGCGTAGATGTACGTATATTAAACTTTAAAGCATAAAATTTTAATTTTGCAAATTTCCATGTTTTCCTGATTTTCCTGATCGTTTTCGATTTCCCTAATAATTCTCTGATGTCCTTGACGCTTAATTTCCCAGTTTTGTGACAACCCTGATTGTAATTACACTTAAAAATAAAAATCTATGCGTTAAGAAAAAATGTCTTGATTAAATAAAAGAGCCCAATGAGAATGATATTTTGTTAATTTAATCAGAACATTTTTCTCAGAATGGGAATATGAATACGATAACATAACATATCCGGGAATAAAATGGCAGTAATTACCGGCAGTAATTATCTATTCTAAATTTGTTTTTACTGTGAGATATACGTGTCGTTAGTCACGGGTGCTTCTTATTGCTTTTAGAATGCAAACCGAGTGATATAACTAACTACCGTTGGATCTTTAGAGAGTCCTCACAACCACAGAAGGCCTTCAAATGAAAGAAGAGAAGAATATAAAAGCAAAACGAAATATAAGGCTAAAAAGACACGCAGGAAAAATACTTGATCAGATTAATGTTCATGCACACTATTCAACGTATACAATGCGTCCTACCATCACACAAATATATGAATATTTTATCAAAAATCCCCTCTTATCACAAGAGGGATAACAAACAATATAAAATATATATAATCTAGCACAAATGATTTAGCAAACTGTCACATCTATAGAAATTTAATTAGCTAGTGGTATCGTGTCTTATGTTTACCTCGGGAAAACGCAATCAATAAATAGGAAGACGTCGAGATCAAGTAACTATAACAAATTTCAATCTGTCAATAGATAGTACTCCCGTAAGAGCTTCCCGGCGAAAAAGTCACGTTCGCTGATCATTTTATGTGGTATACCCAGTATGTTTTTATTTGAACTGGGTCACCGAGACTACCGCTCTCCAGGAAACGCTCGTAGAACTCCGGAGGCACTTAAACATCTCGGCGATGCCGGGGAGTTTATTGCGTCTTTGACACCGAAGTGCAGTCGAAACCCATCGTAGTCGTCGTTGTCGTCGTTGTCGCCATAGAACGACGATACGCGGCAGCTGCTACCGTAATGTCACCTCGGCGCATCTTTCCGTATCGCAATAGAAGAGGGAATTCGATGGGTCGAACTTGTCGTTAGTTGCCGCGCTCATCGTGCGAGTTCTCGTGACCTGGTAATTCGAAAAATGCGAGAGCTACTCATTGCAAGCAGTCGTTCGTTCTGTAATATCGCTCCTACCAGTTTGCAAAGCCGAGTTATTGATCGAGAATTACGTTGCATATCTCTCTCAAGAGATTCAAAGTAAATAATAATTACACGCGAGAAAATGCTGATATCACTCGTTTTAGGAATTAATGCGATTTGTAATTTATTATAGTTTTCAAAAATAGCGCTAATTAATTGTAATTAATTGCAATTTCTTAAATTATATTCTATGCGATCGAATTGTTAAATCGGTATCTTATCAAAAAATTATAAATGCAGGATTGTAAAATGATCCTTCTCCGACAATTATAGACACAGTGCGAATCCACGCTTCGATTTTGCCTATACAAAATTTTTCATTATTATATCAAAGACTAAATAAAAAAACTTTTGCCTCAGAATTTTCATCAAAACACTTCAACAAAGTTGGAGTGCTGCGATAAAATAGTTTATTAAGACTCGAAAACGCAAACATTTCATGTTCGAACTGCTAACGCGTGCAATTTCTAGCACATACATATTATTATTCTCTCTCTCTCTCTCTCTCTCTCTCTCTCTCTCTCTCTCTCTCTCTCTCTCTGTGACACGATGAATGTGTTGCAAACTGGGTCGCCAAGACGATTATCTCCTCGGATGTAACTACTAGTAAGGGATAGGTACTGGCATCATTATTACGCTCGAGAGATTCCGCGAAGTCGTAGCCAAATCGAGTAGGATACTTTCGATTGCTTACGGCCGTTTATTCCCCAGAGTTATTTCTACGAGACTTCCTACATTGTTGACTCGCGTTACTCGCGGTACACACGCACGATAAATCCGTATAAATTACTATTCCGTAAAAGCTACACTACACAATTTCCATAGCATGCTTTTACGCGTGTTATACATTGAACATTTTGTGGAATAAAGTTATAAATCGACAACATGAAAGCAATACAGCGATGAAAGGGACGGAAACATCAGTTAAGTTTTCACATCTATCCTTTTTTTTTCATTTCGATTATATGTATATATTTCAATCCTCATATCAAGAATTGAAACAAAATTTTTAACAAAATCTAACGAGTTTCATTCATTATTAGGTACTATATTATATTAATTATATGTTAAAATATACAAAAAACCAAAGAAAATTCATGAAAAATGTTGGGAACAACAAAAAATAGTTTGAAAGAATATGATTAGCAGCACAATCTTTGAAAAAAAATTTTCTAATAGCCGCACAGAAAAAATGAAGCCATGAGAAACATCTTGTCGCAAAAATTTATAATGACGAGAACGAAAATGTTTGGAAGATTTTCGAAAGTATTATCAAATCGGCGCACGTGACCGCGCGTAAATCGCGCTGACAAAGAAGGTAGAAATAAATGTGATAACGGGGAAAGAGAGACAAGGAAAACACAAGGTGAGGAATCGAGCGAGAGGGAAAAAAATATCCTATGAATTCGTGAGTGACTTCGGATATCACGTTCGGTCCCACCTGGCGGAGATTTTCTACGACTTTGTAGTCCACGATATATCTAGAGTCCGTTTGCAAGTTTAAACCGCAACTTGCGTTGTACGTGTCGCAAATATATTCCACGCACAGCATGCAAAGATTTCCCGTGCATGCCGCGTCGCTATCGCTGTTTTATAGAGCGGCATTGCCAAAATGAAGGAGATTTAATAATTTAGTAGCTATTTTTAAAAAATTAAGAATTTAACAAAATTTTATATTTTGTTCTTACTAAGTGTCTATGTAATATTTGAGCACGATTTTCTTATTTGTTTAAAAATTATTTAATTTTTTGTTTACATGATTTTTTAATAAAATCATTTTTATAATATTTATAATATTTATTTGCAAAATTTGACGAAGAAGTAATATTAGTTTAATCGAATTTTATGCATATACTAATAAAACAATAAAGAATATTCATGCAAAGTTTATTTGGATTTATTTACTCATTTAAAAGTTATTGATTTAAAATTGTAGCAAAATATTTTTGTATGATCATTTTGTTACATAAATTTAATATAATTTATCATTATAAGCAAAATTATTTATTGTATTATTTTCTTGTAATTGGTTTCACACAGAGTTATCATTAAAATTTTTCGAATAATATTGGTTGATATCAACTATTTTTAACTGATTATTTAACTAATAGTTTTAGCTGATATTGTATAGAAAAT